GGAAAGAAGGGAAAGGAAAAATGATGAGAAATGGAAAAAATGGAAATAAAGTCTTTGTAAATAGGGAAGGGTGGAGGGCGAGAAGGGAGGGCTAGGAATGGGGCAAAAATAAGAACCAAGATGCATTATGTACAGGTACAATTCCCAGTGAGAAATGTAATTGTGTTGTATACCTGCAATGTACCAGTAAAAGAATTTAATACAAAAAAAAATTCTTAAAACTTAACAATAAGAAAATAAATAGCCCTACTAAAAGGGTAAGAGATTTGAACAGACAATTAATTCACCAAAGAAGATAAACAGATAGCAAATAAGCCTATGAAATGATGCCCCAACATTGTAAGTCATTAGGGAATTGCAAATTAAAACAGTAATGAGATACCACTACACACCTACTAAAACGGCCAAAATCCAAAAACACTAAAAAATTCTGGCAAGGATATAGGGAAGCAAAAACTCTTATTCATTGTTGGTGGAAATGCAAAATAGTATATCCATTCTTATAAAGCTAAATATACTCCTAGAAGACACATACTGAATTATTATATTTATATGAGGTATCTAAAGTAATTAAATCCAGAGAAACAGGAAGTAGAACGATGGTTACCAAGGGCTGGGAGAAGATGAAGGAGAGTTGTTCAATGGGTTGTTTCAAATTTGCAGGATGAGGGCAGGGGATTTAGCTCAGTGGTTCCATCGCCTGCCTCACAAGCGCAAGGTCCTAAGTTCGATCCCTGGTACCAAAAAAAAAAAAAATTTTGCAGGATGAGAAGTTCTGAGGATCTATTTTGCAATGATGTAAATATACTTATACATATATTCATCATCTTAAAAATGGTTAAGTTGGTAAATTTTATGAGGTTTTTAACACAAATGCCACACAATTCAATCAAACATACTCTTAACATACGATCCAGCAATAGCTGCTCTTGGTGTTTACCAAAATTAGTTGAAGACCTATGTCCACATAAATACCTGTGTACACAAATATTTCTTGCAACTTTATTAATAATTGCTAAAACTTAAAAGCAACCAAGATATTCTTTGTTAGACAAATGAATAAACTGTGATATATCTATACAATGTAATATTATCATGAAAAAAGAATGAGCTATTTTAAGTGAAAGAAGCAAATCTGAAAAGACTGCATGCCGTTTGATTCCAACTACAGTACATGTCATTCTGGAAAAGGGAAAATTATAGAGCAGTGGTGGCAAACCTGTGGCATGCATGCTGTAGTGAGCTGTTTATATCATTGAAAGCTCTAAAGGATTTGCCATCACTGTTATAGAGACAGTAAAAGGATCAATAGTTGCCAGGAGTGAGAAGGGATGGAAGGATGAATAGGCAGAGCATAGAGGTATTTAAGTCAGTGAAATAATTCTTTATGATGTTATAATTGTGGGTACCTGTCATTATACATATGTCAAAACGTATAGAATAGGCCAGGGATTTAGCTTAGTGGTTCCGGCGCCTGCCTCGCAAGTTCAATCCCTGGTACCAAAACAAACAAACAAAACATATAGAATATAATAACCAAGAATGATCCTTACCATAGATTCTGGACTTTGGGTGGTAATTATCTATCAGTGTAGGTTCACTGATTATAACAAATGTACAACTCCTGTGCTGGATGTTGATGATAGGGGGAGGTTGCATGTGTGTGCTGGCAGGGTTTATATGGGAACAGTATACTGTCTGCTCAATTTTTCTATAAATCTAAAACTTCTCTAAAAAATAAAATCTGCTTTTAAAAATGGACCAAGAACAACTCTTAAATGTCATTTTTAATCAAAAAAATGAAGACTTATGAGGGACTCTCAAGATTTCCTATCTAGTTGCTAAATGTACCTCAGCTCTGTCATGTCCATTGTTGAAGGGTGACTAAAACTGTCCCCTGGAGAGAGGAAAACAGGATTATTCTCAGTATCCAAGTCATTCTTAAACAAAACATTTGGGCATCATTGAGGACTTATTTGTGAAAATACTTAATAGGAGGTATGGTAAAAAACTATGATGGATATTTAATTTTTTAAAAAAATATTGTAGTAAAGGACATAATGCTATTAATCCCCCTCAAAATATTCTCCCTTGTTTCAAAAACACTTATCCCATCATTTTTTGCCACTTTCTGAGGCACTTTTGGAAGTCCCTTTTCCTGTCTTTAGTTGTGTTATCATGGCAGCCTCAACGTCCTGAAATTGATTCAAAACTTCACTTTTCATGGACATTTATTTTTTGTACCAGGGATCAAACTCAGGACCTTGCACTTGCAAGGCAGGCACAGTGCCACTGAGCTAAATCCCCAGCCCTTTGTGGTCATTTTGACTTTGGGGAAGAGCCAGAAGTTGCATGCTGCCAGATCCAGTGAATAAGATGGGTGAGACAATCATAGTTATTTTTCTTGTTGCTGAGACAAACTATCCAACGCCCAAAGTTACAAGAGGAAAGATTTATTAAAGCTCACAGTTTGTAGAGGTTTCAGTCCATAGTCAGCTGGTTCCAAAGTAGGGTGGGATGGCAGAGGGGCATCACAGAGGAGAAACATCACATGGTGTGGCAAGCAGAAAGGCAGCAAGCAGCCAAAGCAGAAACAGCAGCTTGCCTTCACTCTCTCCCTTTATATTCTGTCCAGGCTGTAAGCCTATTGATTGGTGCCACCCACACCCAGGGTGGGGGTTCCATTATCTGTACCCTTCATCCCAGTATCATACTCTTTTTCAAAAATTAATTTCTTGGTACATTCTTTACATACATAAAGAACACATTCATCATAGGCAATTTGTACCTGTACATAATATATCTTAATTCTTTTGTTTTCCCATTCCCCTCCCTTCCCTTCAATCCTTCTTCCCCTCTCCATTTACAAAACTTTGTTTCTACTGTTTTCCTTCCATTCTTTTTTAAAAATTCTTATTCCCTTCCTTCCCTTCCCCTTCCCCCTCTCTTGTTCTCCTTCCCATTTGAACATTTTCTTTCTCCTTCCCAATATTTATCCTCCATTTTGATTCTTATTTACCCTTTGGGCTTCTCACATAAGAGAAACAATGGGATATTTAAACGTGTGTGTCCCCTGTATCACACTTCTAATCCACATTCTCCCACTAATCCATGCTGGGCATAGTGGTGCACGCCTGTAATCCCAGGACTTGGGAGGCTGAGGCAGGAGAATCACCTCAAATTCAAGGCCAGCCTGGGCTACTTAGTGAATTCAAGGACACCCTGAGTATATAGTGAAACCTTGTCTCAAAAAAAGAAAAAATGAAACACACTAATCCAGCCACCTTCAAAACTCCCCACCTATGACCACATGAAGGTTTTGGGGGACATCTATAAACAAACCATAACACAGACACAACCCAGTGTTTTTACAAACCTGCCTTTCCACTGGACGGCATGTGGCAGCCTCATTTGCTGTGTTTTTATCACATCTCATGAAGACAGTCATGAAAGACTTCCAGAAGTACTTCAGAAAGTAACAAAAATAATGGGATAAATGTGCTTGAAGCAAGGGGGAGTATTTTGAGAGGGATTAATGGTAGTGTGTCTTTTACTGTTATAAATTTTTAAATATTTAAACATTCACCATATAGTTGGATCATTCCTTGTATCCCTTGAAGTTTTCTCTAAACTAAAAGTAAATTATAACCGTTTCTGTTCTTTGGTTAGAAACATCACCAGCACTTAAATATAAAAACTATAGATAGATTTTAGTCTAAAATACTAACTACTTGATAATTGAGGATTTTCATTTTTCTTCTTTTCTTTCTTTTTATAATTTGTAGATTCAAAATATCCTTCATGAATTTTTTCAAAAGCCAGATTTTGAGCTTGGTAAGTATACCTATTGCTGTTGGTTTTTTCTTTTCTTTCTTTATTTGAGGGTGTGTGGAGGCACTGAATTCAGATGAAGAGTCAATAATGAGAAATATTATTGAAAGTTCTTATAGATGAAATTAGTCTCTTCTGCTCTTTCCAGAAAGAAAACATAGAAAAGCTGAGAAGAATTATTCTCAGTCCTTTTAGGTCAATGCCCCATTTTATTGCAAATATTCTGGAATACCCCTTTATTATCCTATGACAGTGATGGTGAACCTTGTAGAGCTTTCAGTGATAATATGTTTGACATGTGTGCCAGATTCACCACCACTGTTCTATGTCATTCTTAGAAAATATTACTTACATAATTTTAAAAGAAAGATGTCATAACTTATATAAAGGAGAAATGCAAAGAAAGGCGTTAGAAGTCACATGTACTAATTTCAATATATATTTGTTTTGTTACATCTTTGCTGGAAGACATAATGCAGTAGCCAGACAGTTCTACCTTTTATTGTGAACATCTAGATATAAAAAAGTAAAATTATATCTAGTTGATCTTCCTTGTATTTGACATTTTGAAATAAGGATAAATGATCGCTTCTCGGCCTTTTGGCTAAGATCAAGTGAAATAAGGATAAATGAGTGTGTGTGTGTGTGTGTGTGTGTGTGTGTGTATGTGTAATCCCCATGACTAGGAGAGCTTCAAATGCAGGTATGTCTATCATATTAGAATTCAGATTTGATTTATGTTACCTCGTATAACTCATTTTCTGTAATTACCAACAACTCTTGATCAAGTTCCAGAATTAATTTAACATTCAATCCTCCCTCAAATTTTCACAGTAGTTACATTGTTGGAAAATTCAATTGCAAAATTAAGGGTAAGGATGTAGTTCAATGATAGAGCACCTGGTTAGCATGCACAAGGCCCTGGGTTCAATCCCTAACACCAAAACTGAAAGAAAAAAAAGCAACAGCAAAATTGTACTCTGTATTTAATACATAGAATAGAATTAGCTCCCAAATTCAAAATTATTATAAGCAGATTTTTCACCTACTTGAATGTCTGACAGGAGGAGAAGGCCTTGATTGTGCAGAAATTGCAGTAGTTCTCCCTGTACACTTACTCCCTATTATTGTAATAACAAAAACTGTTACACATATTTCCACAATGCACTCTGGGGACAGAGGGTAACAGTACCACCCCTATGGAGACTGGTAGATTTTGGTGCATTTATTTTCAAAAAGATTTTTCCTGTAGGAAATTAAGCAAGAAAATCTGACTTGTCACATAAAGAACTAGAATTAAGTTCCTGATATTTATAGAATTTATGTTCAACTAATTTTTTGAGTTAATTTTTTGATCACTTGTACTATAATAGTTAAAAATAGATGGAAAGAATTTTTGTAGTCTGTCCTCCCCTCCTTTTTTTCCCTGTATTGATGATTGAACCCAAGACCTTGCACAAGCTACGCAAGCACTCTATCATGGAGCTTTATTCCCAGTCCTTTTCTCACTTATTAAAGTAACATACATCTCATCTTCCTGGTCTCTGATCCCCAAACATGATTTTGGCCTTGCTGACAATCTTTTCTCTTTCTTCTTGTTCTCAGCCTATTCCCAAACTGTAATTCTCCAGTCAGCTCAACCTTTGCTCCTGTTTCAGAATTCTTTGAAATAGCTTCACTTATTCATTTATTTTGGATGGGAGTACATGAGTGAGTTAAGATAACTCTATTGGGGATGCTGATGTATAAATTAAAGAAAATTGGAGTAGTAAAAAAGAAAGACAAGTTGCAGATCAAAATGATTATATGTATATATATAGAAAAACAAAAGTATTTATCCTGCTTGATTAAATGAAAGCAAGGAAAAAGAATAATTTTGGAGTAATTGGGATGTTACCCAAGTATATATCTGCTTTATTGTAACTATAGATAAACATCAGTTAAACATAATTTTATGTTTTTCTTTTGAGTACTATAATGTAAATATAAAATATGAATGTATTAAACCAAACTAACTAGCAAATAACTTCTATTCCAAAATTAGAATCACGTTGCAAACAATTGGATATTACTGACTCAATGGGACCAAGATTGAACAAATCAGGCTTTATAGAAGTAAGAAATTAATATTATTTAATATTTTAATCAAATTATTTTGCCGGTTTCAGCTGTCTTTTGATGGATGTCACACATATGTTAACTTATAATGAAATTAAACTATAAAAATTTATCTTATCAATTCTAAGGTACACACTTTAAATTTTTTAACTCTTCTGAAATTTGGCTTCATCTATCAGTGAAAAGCATCTTATAATTTCTTTCAATCAGTGACATCCTCTGGTAAGATCAAGAAAAAGCAATATGTTATGTTCAAAGGAAGCTGGTTATACAAATAGTAATAAAATCGAAAACTTATGAATCATTTCCTATGGGTTAAGCACTATCCTAAGCGATCTATATATAATTTGGGTAATCCTCTCACTAATGCTCAGTAATGCTATTTGTTTTTTAATCCTCTGCTTTTGTAAGTGAAACCACTGAGGTTCAGAAAAAATAATAACATACATGTGGTCTCATCATCAGAGGAACTTGGGAAATTTGTATTTGGGCAATTTGGTTTCAAAGTCTACATAGTGTGATACCTGAGAAAGTAGGATTCTATTGTCATAGAATAAATGAAAGGAGGAATTTAATGATACTAGAATTCTGAATTGGAATAATAGCCCATTTTCTTATTTTTTTCATGCTTCCTATATTTCCTCTTGTTTTTCTTTAGTGAGTCCTAGAGTCAAGATAACTTTCTCTTTCTCTTTTCTTATACCCTTTGCTCCACTGAAGGTGAACAATATGCATATATACAGATTCAAAGTCCTACATGAAGGATTTCTGGAATCTTTTTTGAAATGATTTTTACATATCTGAATTTGGCAAATTCTATCTCAGTTACATTCTCATTGTGTTTCCTTAAATTTTGTCTTTGTCTATATGGCACCCATCAGTCACAGAGCCAAACTAATGGCCAGAGTTGTTTTTATCTCCCCTGTTGTCCAAAACCCAGGCAATGAAGCATCTCTGTACTAATTTTTACACACCAAGTCAATATTTCCCTTGCCCTAAATCAATTCAGAGCCAGGTATGAGACAACAGGTATAGCTCCTGTACCCTGAAGTCTACTCAAACTATTTACACTAGACAATCTTAAATCATTTACCCTGTTTTGCCTTGCATTTTCTGTGGAAACCTCAATAAGAACTCTGCCTTAGACTTTCCCTTTGCTTTTTCCTGCTTCTGCATCCTGACTAAAATCTGACACATAGTATGCTCCTTGGAAACTTATAAAGAAATAAAAATATTTTTCCAATGGAATTAGAGTCTTCAAGTCATCATTCAGTCACCTCCTTAAAATAAAATCCAAAAAAACTCCTTAAAATAAAATACAATTGAGAAAAGCTACTCAAAGAAAATATGCAGGGGAACAAATGTTAGATCTATAATAGTTCAGGAAAGCCAAGGATTTATCACTTTAATATAGTTATACTCATAAGTTATATTCCTTACAAAACACTGATTCTTGATACTTCTTTTTTAACCATTTAAAAACAATTTTTTGAGGTGCAATTTACATACCATAAATCTTAGTACTTCTTGCATATTTGTCTTATACTAGTTTCCCGACAAGTGAGCAATTTAGAAACTTTTATTTTTTAATTATGAACATAATATATGAATTCTATCATGTGAATTATATCTTAATATGAAAATATGGTAATATAAATCTGGCACAGTGCTGCACACCTACAATCCCAGCCACGTGAAGACTGTGGCAAAAGGATAGCAAATTCCAGGCCAGCCCAGGCAACTTAGTTAAATCTTGCATCAAAATAAAATTTTAAAAGGGGAAGGGATGTAGTTTAGTAGTCCAGCACTCGCCTAATATGAGTGAGGCCCTGGATTCAATCTCTAATGTGAGGAAGGGTGGAGGGGTGGGGGGGTAAGTGTAGGTTTATTATAGAAAATGAAAGACAAAATTATAAATAAAAATTTAAATCTTTTAATCCTGCCACCAACTACTAACAACTATTAACATTGTGATATTTTTCTTTGTATAATAATGACTCAGATATTTTACCACTTTTTTAATATGCCAGATTCTGCCCTGAGAATATGCTTTTTTCCTGTACAATTCAGTTTTTATTATCATCATTTTGCAGATGAGACTCAGGAAGATTGAACAATTTCCTTAAGGTCCTCAAGTATGTAAATGTTGAAGCCAGGCTAGAATCCAGGTCAACTTGACTCCAAAGCACATTATGATCTTGACCATGGTGCTGTCTAGTTTCTTTTTATATTCATAGTGAGACATGTGAGGTTTCAGTTTTAATTTTGTGATTTTTCTTATAGATTTTGTATATGTTATATACAACAAATACATGTTTAATATACAAGTATATAATCTATTTTTGTACTTACACCATTTCTTGATCATTTCTGTCAGTATTCTTTAAAACATGATTTTTAAGCTATGAAATAATTATAGATTTATAAGAAGCTACAAAAATACAATTTCTTATAAAAAGTACAGAGGTCACATATCTTTCAGTCAGTCTCCCCAAAAGTTAAATCTTGTATGGCTTTAGTAATATTGATAAATATATGTGTATAGTGGTGTGTTCTTTTATTACATACATAAATTTCCATAACCATTACTAAAATTAAAATACAGGACTATTTCAGTACTGCAAAGATTTACTGGTGGGACATTTTGCCAATTTGAGAGAAATATAGAAATTTTACCACCCTTTAACTCCTTTTATACTTTGTTTATAATATCATTGTCCTAAATATTTTCAGTACACACAGCACATCAGGCAATATTATCCTGTGTCAAATATTTAATATAATTTAGAAAAGTCAAGAGGAGAAGGAAAGTTTATTATATTTACCTATATTTTCTGTTCTTTTGCTCTTTTTATTGTTCTTCCTGATATTTCAAGATTCCTGTTTGTTTTTTGTTTTTTTCTTTTTTTTCCTTCAGTGCTGAGGACAGAATCCAGGGCCTGTTTGCCAACCCTAAGATCCATTCTTTTATGAATTTCTGTTTAGAAAACTTTTAGTTACTGTTTTAGAGTAGATCTTCAGATGCTAAACTCTTAGAAGAGGCCTAAAATTTTTTAATCTTTCTAGCCCTTTTCTTTGGCTAGAACAAACTTTTCTTGGTCTTGTTGTTATTTTCTGTTCCAATTGGTATTTCTGAATTTCCAGCTTCTCTAGCACCCAATCTGGAATATATGAGGCAAAAAGAAACCCAAAGTACTTACTACTGAGTAGTTCTTTAGGTCCTGCAGTCTCTAGCCAGTCTGCCATCTTCTCTCTACCCTTCATAGTATTCTTAAGTTTACTTTATATCTAATATCTGGAGGATTAGCTGTACTTAAGTAAGAAGAATTGGGAAAAGTACATTTATTCTCTTGGGCCGGGGTTTTAGCTCAGTGGTTGTGCTGCGCGCTGCGCAAGCACAAGAACCGGAGTTCGATCCCCAGTACCAAAAAAAGTACGTTTACTCTGTCTTGGTCTTCAAACTATTTTAGTGGCTATATATTTTATTATATGGCTGTATATTATTTAATCATCTTTATTGTTGTATATTTACTCTCATTATTCACAGCAAAAATAAGATTAGTATCTGAACATGAATTTTTACAGCTTAATATGGTGAATTATGGCCCATACCATAAATTCACATGTTAAAGCCCTATATTAGTCACGTTTCTGTTGCTGGGAAAAAATATCTGACATGCACAACTTAAAGAAAGAAAGATTCATTTTGGTTCATGGTTTCAGAGGTTTCGTCCATGGCTCCAAGGCAGAAATATTATAGTGAAAGGGCATGGTGGAGGAAAGCTGCCCACCTCAAGGCAGCTAAGAAGCAGAGAGCAGGGGAAGAGCCAGAGAGGAAGAGGCCAGGGACCAGGTATAGTCTCCAAGGTCATGCCCCCATGACCCACTTCTTCAACAGGCCCCACATCCTAACAGTACATTTAGCTATGTACTTATCAATGGATTAATCCATTGATGATGTTTGTCATGACCTAATCCTTCTAAAAGCCTCCCCTTTGAATACATGAACCTTTTGGAGGACATTCATGATCCAAACTGTAACATTCTGCCCCCAGCCCACAAAGGCCTATGTCCTTCTCATCATGCAAAATATATTCAGTCTAAGTATTTGTAAAGTCTCAACAGTTTCAGCACTTCTCAAAAGTCCAAGCCCAGAGTTTCTCCTAAGACTCCAGGCATCTCTTAGCTGTGAACTTTCTAAAAACCAGGGCCCTAGGCAGCCCTGCCCTTATGCGCTTGATAGTTATAGCTCACATGGCCTCTCTCTTGGAGACTATTCCTAGTCTCTGGCCTCATCCTTTCTGGCTCTTCCCCTGCTCTCTATTTCCTAGCTGCCTTGAGATGGGCCGCTTTCCTCTACCATGACCTTCTTCCATAATATCTCTGTCTTGGACTGGCTTTGCTTGGTCCCTGCAGATGTTGCGTATTCTTGGCATCTCCAGCTTCCTAGAGTCTCCATTACAGCTTTGTTGTCACTCTCACAGCTTCATGCATTACTCTTTCAGGGGCTCCTGACAGAGACTCTGACCCTATTCCACATTGCCTTGCCTCCCAGGCTTTCCTTGGAGTTCAGGAAAGAGGAGGAAAAACTGAGACAGAAGGATGGCAAATTTCAGGCCAGCCAGGGCAACTTAGTGAAATCGTATATCAAAATAACATTTTTAAAAGGCTGGAAATGTAGCTTAGTAATCTAGCACTTGCCTAGTACAGTATGAGCGAGGTTTTTAGTTTATTTACAAAGTAGTGCAATCATCAAAACAATCAATTTTACAACATTTCCATCTCCTTCAAAAGAAACTCTACATGTATTAGCAGTCACTCTCCATCTCCCTCCAAATCTCCAGCCCAAGGCAACCACTAATGTACTTTCTGTCAATACAGCTTTGCCTATTCTACACATTTCATGTAGGTAGAATTATATTATATGTAGTTTTTTGATTTGAGCTTCTTGCACCTATCATGTTTTCTTGGTCCATCCATGTATTAGTACTTTATTT